TATTTTCTCTTTGTTACTATGTTTGCCATCTGTTTGCAACAAGCCAACTTATTGTAACTTGTTTCTATTTTAAGAAATTAATCGTGTATGAATAAAGTATTTGAAAATGTCAATCAAGAACAGATTACATTCTACATCTTCGCTTTAGTTATGTTATAAGTTACTAAGTTGTCGAATTCTTTGCACTGAGGTATGAGGTAAGAAACGAGCACCGAAATAATTGAACACGCATTCGGCAAATGGAGAAGTAGTACAGGTGCGTTTAACAGCAAACCGATTCGCGAGGCGCAGGTGAGTTTTATCGCGAACAGCGTCGAGAAACGCGTGGAGTTTCCGCTGTGACCTACGGCCGACGTGTGCAGAAGAATACCACACTGTTGATCGAACTTCTCTCGAGTTTTCTTCGAGAAAAGAAAGGTACAAAAATCTGCAGAAAGCAGAGAAGAATGGAGAGCAGAATCTTATTGGAAGTTACTTTAAAAAAGAATCTTGGATTTGTATCTATTTCTTGTTCAATAATAAATATTTATCATTACTCCAATTCTGTCAATTGAAATAGAACCTACATCTGCTCAGTATTGCTACCAGTTGGAATGACAAAGGTTAATAAATTATGCACGAATAACAAATATTTGGAAATTTGTTCTAATTGATGCTGAATCCCGCTCATCAATCTGATAAATCAAAATGTAAAGATTTACTTTGTATCTCGTTCCATTTTGATTCCTCGTGGACAAATTGTTTTGAAATTTTTTGTGAAAATCTGAGAAAAATCTGAAAACGTATTAACATCATCATTGCGCAAAAATTTTCGTAGCTTGCATAGATTTCAATAAATTCTTTTCAAATAAAAGTAACAATTCAAGCAGAGTTGATCTGACTAGACAACATAGAGTGAAAATAACTAAATCAATAAATGCTGATGGAAAATTGTCGGCAATTTAAACTGTCAACTTTATAAGAAAAGGTCACATAGCCAATCCATTTGGCCTCACTTTAAAATGAAGAGCCTCTGTTTCGCGCAAGTATTAACAAAAGTGAAACAATTCTGTTTCAACTTTCTTTATTCCAATTTCACCGCCTAAATATATATATATATATATAGTTAAAAGACAAGTTCCAAACATTACACTTTCTATTGCAAGTTCCACAACGCTCATTATTAACAAGCACAATAGCCCGTAAGGAACGTCTGGCCGAGCATAAGGCATCGGAAGTGCTATTACGTCGCGAAATCCCGAAGCAAGGCCATCGTCGATAATCCCACTTTGCAAATTGCCAACACTTAGTTAACGATAGTCCAGAGCCGAAAATCGCCACTATGTGTCCCAACCAAACTACTAACCTTACGAACTAAGGTCCGCATAGCTCACTTCCGGCTTGGCTGGCGCAAGAAGGAACGACACAACGAATCGAGCTTCCGTTCTTTCCTTAGCCAAATGCAAACTTGGTATCCGCGTTTACGAGGCGAAAGAAAAGTTTCGTTTGATGGATGGAACGACTTAACGACCATTGTATGAATCGAAAGAAACAGAGCTTCGAAGGAATCAAAGAACAACGGATGCCGATGGCTCGGAGTCTGATGGACGTTGCAATTAATTTCTTTTGACCGACTCTGATGCTTTGCAGAGCAAAACTCTGTACGTTACCCTGCTCAGACACTGGAATATCGAGTGTTTTTATTGATTAAGCGAATCGACTGGTTTTTATTGATTACAAGCTAGAACTATTGCAGCAGCGGGAGTTAACTGTTCAGATTCAGGAGTTATTAATTGGAACAGTAGGGACTAGAACAGCAAGTAATAAAAGTATTATAACAGCAGTGTAATGAGTAGTAATTAAAGGATCATTGGAATAGTAGAAATATTAATTCTAGAACGGTACACTGTTTGTAATTAAAATGTATATACTACTGATCATAGTGTGTGAGAGTGAGATGAAATTTCTCTCATTGATACCAACTTCGATTTATCATAGTGTGTGAGAATGAGATGAAAGTTCTCTCATTGATACCAACTTCGATTTATCATAGTGTGTGAGAATGAGATGAAATTTCTCTCATTGATACCAATTTAGATTTATCAGTGAGCAATCAGACGTGATATTGTCAGAACTAGATCCCGTGGCGAGTGCAGTTTTATTTTCACTCATGCAATGAAAATCGGGTATGTCAAACTCGACTCCATAATCAATCATCTACCTACCCCACCATCGTTAAAAATCTCTTCTTTTCGCCCTTTTGCGAAATTCTCGTTACCTAGAAACGTCTGTTCGACGAGATACCAGGCTCGATTGTTCGCCTAATTCCTGTTACCCCTTTCACCCCTTTCAACCAATCCCCACCGTCCGTTTAGCAATGTGGGACAGCCGAAAATTCGGTTAGACCCGCCCCTATCCAGTCGCATCGCGCCCAACTCGATTAAAGCGTAAACTTCCCCTCGGAAATAACGCTATTCATTAGCAACACGACGCGTTTCGTCGCGACGACGCCTCGAACAACCAACGCCTTGACGAATCGTCCAACGGATAATAAACCGATCGCGCGTGAAGTCGCGCGCGAATCTATTACAAAACGATTCTGTTCGGTTCGACACGGGTGTCGAAAAGAGCGCAGACGAGTGGCCACGTTTTCAGCGAGATGATTTCGCGAGAAGTGGATAATCGAGCCGTTTAATGACGACGGTGGGTTGATGGAAATAATTAATGGAGCGCGGTGGATTTTCGAGGGGGAGGGTGAGGGCGAGGGAGTTAATCGGGATGACGAGGAATATCGCGTGGTCGACAATTGTTATCGAGCGATCGTTATTGGTAACGCTTAATGAGTCGCGGATGAAACGATTGTCGTTGTCACCGTGCGTGAATACGGAAAATGACCGATTAAAAGTTTTTTAATATTAAAATTCAATATAATTTAGCGAATATATAAATTTATAATTTAGCGAATCGCGTTGAAATTGCCGACTATTTTTTTTTTTTTATTATTATTCTCTCGCGTATCTTAAATGCAATACTATTCCGTATGTTGAAGATTCTACGATAACCCTCGAACAGAATTGTTGAGTTGACTATATATGGTCGTTAGACAATTGAAATTTAAAGTATATTTGACTTCACTTTCTACGTTTCCGAAATTAGTGTCAAGATTGAATTAAATTAAAAATTCAGACCTAAATTATTTATCAGACCTTGTTGTAATTTTTATTGGCAGTAAGAAATTAAGATCGTGAAATATTTTTAGCTGATAGGTGTAAAATATGTTTTTGAAGAGTTGGTTGTCATTAGATTATTGTAAAAAATTCTTAGGATTTTTGAAACTGTGTATTTTCATTTCGTTTGATAACGTAGCTTTTGAATAACGTAACTTATAAGTTAGTAAGTCCTTTCTTGATGAATTTTTCATTTTTTTTTTTTTTTTAATAATAAATTCTTCCGAAAATACTTTCATAAATGTAAATGTAAAATGTCTCGAGACTTTTTAAAACCATGTATATTCTCACTGAATTAGCATTTTGTTGAATAATTTAGTTTTTATTTATAACTTAATAAGTCCTGGTCTTGATGAATTTTTCATTCTTTTAAATAGTGAATTCCCTCGAGTAAATATTTTCACACAGGTGTGAATATACATACATAGGGAATATTAATGAAATGGATGTGAAACTTTTATTAGAGTATACGACGTGTAGACTGCAGGTATCTACGCATTTACGAGAATTCATAGACACAGAAACGTAGAGAATGCATTTGATATGTAAAAATATATAAGATATTCAAAGTAACGTAGTTTAAAATTTACATTCACGTTTTTCGTAATATTTTGCAAATTTATATGAACACATTCAGAATTCGTTTATAACTACTAAAGGATAATTGACTATAGAAAATTTGTCAGTTTAACGATCGACGATTTTCAAATATTTTAGTTTGAGAATCTTTAAAAATAATCTGCAATTTTCTGAACGAGAGTGTAAATTGGCTGGAAAAAAATTTACGAATAAAATTACGCAACGTTAATCAATTTTTAAGCAACGAAAAAAGCTTTTATTTAATGGCAATGGTGACCGAAATAATTAACGAGTCCTCGTAGATTTCAATGGATAAGCAAACACAGGAAACAAAGGAGCACTATGCATATTTAACACATGCGATTTCCAATCTGTATTTACTTTCCATGTCGAGAGTGGCTGTCAAAGTATTGGTCATCCTGCTCGAGAGATCGATCCACTAATTATTTTGAACAGCATCACGGTGATATTAAATTACTGCGGAGGGTTCTTCAAGTATCGCACTTGATTTTAATAGGGAACGTCTAGTATCTTTCAAATAAATTGCACACCGATCGATTTTGTTATCCTCTAAATAATAAATATTTGGTTTCGTTTTTCTAAATTTATCGTCACGACCGAAATGGAAAAAAATCAAAAATTTTTGACAGACAGACAGAAATTTCTAGAGAAAAGTATTGTACGTAGCGTAAACCACAGAGAGAAGAAATTTTGTTTAACTCTTTCACGAACGTTCAAAAATTTTGAAAACACCGAAATAATTTTTCAGTAAGTTGAGAACTTTTATGCAAACTCATATCTTTGAGGTTATAATTAAAAGAACAGTAGGAAATTCATATTACAGAGTATGAGTATGTATGATTGTAATATTTATATGTTGAATATGTCGTAGAAATATTTTATGTCTTTTTGTTTTCATATCACGTGCATTCTCACGATTAATTTTGTTCATTAAAAACTTTACACATTCCTACAAATACATAAGATAATATTAACTTTCAAATATAATCTCTTATAGAAACGTCCCTTCGAATAAAGCAAAAAAGATGTAACAACAATGTCACAGCTGCGTTGTAATTCTCAAGAAACATCAATTCGGGCGCACGCGTTGTCAGTTTCGAAGCAAAAGAAAGAAAAGAAAGAAAAAGAAAAAAAAAGACACACAGAAGAATAAAAAAAAAAAAGGAAAAAGGAAGAGAAAACGAAGTCACTCACCGATACAGACGAAGAGCGCCGCGAAGAGAATCGGCGGGAAAGCTCTCGAGGACGAAAACATCCTGCTGCCGGTGGTTGAAGGCTCGTGCTGCGAGGAGAAGTCTTGTCAGTTCGATGCCGAGGAAACTTCCGGGAGCCAGGAGCCGCCCAGAGGGGCGGTACCAACGGAGTCCCGCGAAACAGAAAGAAAAAGGCACTTGATCCACCGACCCTTTCGTCCCTTTAAAACCGTTCTCGAAACAATCAATCTGTCCAATCGATCACAAAACGAAAAGTTCTTCCTCTCTTATTGCAAGACAATCACCAACGATCTCCGGAGGATCGAAACGCGGTGATCCTCCGTGTGTCTCTTCACGGACACGCACGATCCTCTGCCTCCCCCTTTTTCGAATTCTTCCTCTTTCCGACAGTTTCCGATTTCTACCGCAGAATTTTTCGACAATTGTCGCCGCGCGATGCTTCTCTGCGTGTCCGTTTCAAACGGGGGAGATAATCGCTCGGTCGAGATAATATTCCCGGGTGATAGTTTTTCTTTCGGATGCACTCGAAGGGGCGCACGAAATCACGAGCGGCCGATGTTTGATTGCTGGACCACGAAAAGGTGCGTCCTGACGCGTTCGACTGGTGCGGCGCCGCCGTCGGACTGACTTTCTACGTTACGCTGCAGCAGTGGCGACGCGCCGCGTCGCGTCGTCGCGCGCGCTTATCTTCCCGCACCTGTGTGCCCTCCTCGATTTTCCCTTCTATACGTATCTCTTTGTGCCCGTGTGTATGTGTCTTTCTCTCTGTGTGTGTGTATCTGTGTGTGTGTGTGTGTTTTCGCCATGGCTGTGTGCAAGCGCCCGCTACGAAATTCGGCCTGTTCCCCCTTCGCTGCTTGGCCTCCTTCGCCAGTTGCGCAAGCCGTGGCCTTCTTGCTTCTTTGTCACTGGAAAAGAAAATCCGACGATACGTTTTTCAGATTCCATTAATGGAAGTTAATGGTGTTAATATTGACATTCTGTGATTGTCCGGCGAGATTGCGATTGCTGCGAGAAGCGTTTCGCACGTGTCTACCCTTATTCCGCTGTGAAGTATGTTTCTTTGTTGGAGGATTCATATTCCATTTCTGCAGTATCAGATTATTGTACACCCCGGCACTTACTGTACACTCTGAAAATTATTAAATTTCTTTTTATTATATGCATTCCTCCGTGCTTTTATCAACATTACGAGTAAATAAAACTTTTTGCAATGCATTTCGTGTTGTTGAAAAAGAGCGCAGAAATATGGTAATATTTAGCAGGTCAAAATAATAGCATATTTCGTAGAGAAATGGATAGATACAAAAAAAAAAATGAGTTTGATAACTATTTAATATTTAGCATGACCTTCTTTGCATATCTAATAATGGCAGCCATTCTTTGAGGCAAAGGTTTATATGGTTCCTCAATGATTAAAAAATCATTGTTGTACGCTATTTCAAAACGTCACACAACATCGACTAATTATTAGAAAACACAGTCACTCAATGTAAAATTTAATTAATTATTCCTCCCAACGAAAGAGAAACGTTTAAATACCAATTTTTAAATATTCCTTCCCAAATTTTAGTCAAAATTTTAATCACACGTTACCGTGTAAACTTACTATTATCGCATTAGCCTACATTATTGCACATTATCGTATACTATCAAACATCGCGAACAGCGACGATTAACGTAAACAAAATCCTCCGGTATGAAGTGCAATTATTTGTATCTAGCAGTATCTTTTTAGAAATTTTAATCGAAATTCCAGTCGCGTGACATAATTTCAAATTCTAAAAACTTCACGACGCGTTTTTGCTACCGTATTTGTACAATAATTACCAAAAATTCGATATCCGACGATAATATAATATTTTAACGTTAGCTCCCCGCGTAGATTTTATCCGATGAACTTTTTTAATTATCATTTTATCGGCTACCGCCGGTTTCCTGGTTATCAGTTTTGCTCAGCGTGCCCGTTAAACCTTCCCTTTATTGCGAAATTTGCGAAATAATCGCGGCCGTAACAAATCCTGATATTTGCAGCCTGAAACTCTCATCGTTCATGCCGTTTGTTGTTAATTATTGCAACAGTTCAATTAATAATCGCTTCATCAATCAAATTTCCTCGACGCTCCACTATCAGATTTTCAAACAGCTTCTCCCTATATCATTAATCGCTACTACGCTCTACTAATATTTATACCGAACTGTATGCAGATCGATGGAACAGAGAGAATGATAGATGTTACAAAAGATTGTATCATCATACTGTTGTTCTATCGTAGTTTTAAAGATTTGCTAGTAAAAAATAAGACGAGGCCGAGCCTTACATCGATTGGTCCGTTGATATTGTCACAAATATAAATTAAGACAGTTTCAGGAGACTTTATGCTCTTTGATATCAATCATGATAAAAACATGTAACAGCACATCAATAATATCAATAAAACTGACACACATCTGATCTCGTATAACTCTTTACATCTTAGCTACTTATCACTAAACTGTGAACATTCATTGCATTGTGTGAGCAAATATTTATCCGCTATTGCCATAGATATCTAACATTCTAATGTATAATATAATGTTCCATCTAATTTTCAAATAAAAAACGAAAAACTATAATTAAATGAAATAGAATAAAAAAAACTACAACTAACAGCTTCACCCATTAAGGGTCAATTCTTTTACAGTTCTTTCGAATCTTCATTTATCATAACAGATTCCATTTCTTAATTCTCGGCTATTTTAATATTTTTTCTATCATTATGTCTTCCACCTAAATTCTATAATTTTTCAAAATTTGTAGAAACTAAATTTATCTACAGTATTTAGGGAGATCAACGTTGTAGTCTGAAGATCGATGATTAGAATAGAAATGATATATCTGTACCCAACACGTGTGCTTAAAGAAATAGAATACCGAAACAGGGAGAAATGAAGAATCACTTGGAACTTGGATAGATGTTTCCTTCAGCGACGCTCGGAACGAGTTTAATTTTCCTGGTTAGATATTCTCGTGAATATCTAGCGTTTACATATCGAATTGCATCAACGTTGATGCAGCATGCATTCACGCGGCAGTTATTGACGGAGTGTATACACCGCGCGCGCCTATGCATTATATAAGCAACATTGTGCTGTCCGGCATCAATCATGGGGATTTCCTGTGCAAGTGAACTAAGTACCAAAGGGTTTCTACGTTTGATTCTCTACAAAATCCCTGGTTTCTCTCGTTTCTCAAGGAAACATAACGGAGTCGCTGATGTGACTGAAGGAAACAAGGGTAGATGTTGGAAGCTAATCGACATAGTGAAGATACTAATTAAAAAATAAAGATTTTCGGGAAACTTTCAGCACAAATAAAAATTATCGGCCTAAGAATGGTTAACGCAATTGATTTTTGAAAGTAACTGTGAATTGTATTTATATATACAATTACAAAGAATGAAACAGGCCTGAGAAATCATTCGAAACTTATTAATATCTTCGAAATTGCTACACATTTTTTTTTCGAAAACTTGGACTACGCTATGAATAGTAAAATTATTTTCTAGCAATCTGATAATTTTGTTTAAAAAAATTCAAAGAGAAAATAATATTATATTATTAATAATATTATAAAGAACAAGTTATCATTTATATTGTAATATTATTGTACACTTCTAAAACATTAAATTTTCTACGTTTACGTACAAATACTCTACTCATAAATATTCGTGACAGTTTAACAATAATATATTAAGTGTAGCATAATTTCGTTTGTCTAATAATGCAAGCAATTAATAAGTGTCCATATCTGTAATAACCAGGTTAATTTATCTTTACTTTAAATCTATTAACTTTACGAAGACTTATGGTCGGTAGCAAGTGAATAAATCGGTGTCAGAAATGCCAGGGTGCACTATGAAAAACATGATACATACTTTGTCAACAGTCTTAAGAATAATTAAGAATACAATTACTAGTCATAAGATAATAGTCTTAAGAATAATTAAAAATACAATTACTAGCCATAAGATAATAGTCTTAAGAATAATTAAGAATACAATTACTAATCATAAGATAATAAATTTTAAAATACCAGTCATGGCAGAAAAATTTTCTTAAATACGTAACAAAATTTTTCTTGGTTTTTTAAACAGAATATTTCATGAAAGTATTAAAACATTTATAGAGAAACTGTTTATGAATATATTTTTAAATTGTATTAACAGTATTATGAAATATAACTATGACGGTATTTATCAAGTTTGAAACAAACGTGAAGTTATTAATACTTCAATATTTATAAATATTTATAAATATATTTCAATATTTAAACAGTCAATTATGTATGATATTAATAAATTATTTAATATGATATAATAAATATTAATAAATATTTAAACCATTTTTAACGATATTTTATACCACAGTATTAATAAATACCTGGTTATATACCACAGTATTAATAATTGGTTTTGAATAATATAAAATAAAAATATATTCATAAAAATTTTCTATAATAATAAAGCAAATGTTATCGTGACTATATGTATATATTATCCTTTCTTCTATCTTTTTCATAAATCAACAAACGATACAATACCAGAAAGCAAGAAAGAAAAAAGAAACCAGAGAATCACAAAGTACATATTGAACAAGACGAATTCTTTCTACATCACCGAATCTACCATTGTGGAAAAATAAAGTCGATCGTTGGACATCATGCGAGGTCTAGGTTGAAATTTAGCGAGAAGCCAGCCAATAGCAAACGATAGATCGACGTATTAATGAAAGTTCAACTTTCTCCGACGGCTAATTAACAGTGCCGTCGGTTAGGCGTCCATGAATATTCCGACGGATGAAAAATATTTTTGTAGCTGAACCACAGTGACGAAATCTCGGCCAATATTTGCATATCGACCTGTTTGATCAGGCAAATTCGCCGAATTCGCCCCGGTTAATATAATTAATTCACGAAAAGAACGATACGCTCTCGATCGAACCCCTGTTTTTGTCGACGTTTATCGTACACGAGCAAAGTTTTATTGATATTGATATCTATCCTAACGAAACAGCATTACAGCTACGTATTTTTTCTATTTTTTTTTTTTTTTCTGAATTTTTCTTTCTCACCCCTATCGCCAAATATCAAAGGTTTCGCAACTAATATTCCACAGTTAAAAATTTCGTTTTTGATATGTTTCATGTTTCGTATATTTGATATATTTCATTTTTTATAAAAGGTATTACTCGATGTAATCTTCTTATATTTTTAATACTGATGAATTTTGTTTTTTTTCTAATTGACAAAAAAATCAACGTTCTTGCTATTTTTAATGATATAACATTATTATTTTTAAGCTAACAATAGAGATATCTTTTTAGGAAATCAGATTTACTTAGTTAAATTTATGTACTTCACATACGTAGTAATTTTATTAGCAAATCTTAATATTTATTAACATGTGGAATTAGAAGTCTATATAAATTTTGGGATTTATATATTATATCTACAATATTATGTAATCTGAAATTTTCGTATGACGATACGAAATCTTATTCAACAATTCCAGAACTACTGTTCCCTTTAAAGAATATTCAAAACATCATATAATAAAAGAAAAGAAAAGTGTTATAAGAAAGTATTCAATACTTTTACATTAAAATACATCATAGTACATCAAAAGTACATCAATCATTTCATTTTTTTTTTTCCCTTGGTTCTCTTTCGACCTTATTATAAATCACAGAAATCTCATATAAATA